TCCACCTTGTAAATTGTGGGTATTAGGCCCACTCCAAGGTCCCTTCCAAGCTTCCCTCAGGCATGTTGTGAAATATACACTAAATTAAATGCCCACGGCCAGGGGTGGTGGCTCACAACTGTAATCCCAGCACTTTCAGAGGATGAAGTAGGTGAATCACCTGAGATCAGGAGTTCAAGACCAACCTGGCCAACATGGTGAAACCCCATCTCTACTAAAAATACAAAAATTAGCTGGGCATGGTGGCGCCTGTAATCCCAGCTACACGGGAGGCTGAGGCAGGAGAATCTCTTGAATCCGGGAGGTGGAGGTTGTAGTGAGCCGAAATCATGCCACTGCACTCCAGCCTGGGTGACAGAATGAGACGCCATCTCAGGTAAATAAATAAAATGCATAAATAAATAACAGGTTTGTGCCTGGCAGCCTTAGCTCAGGATCAAGGTAGAACTAAACATATCTGCTCACCAACCTGGAGGTCATAATATCACAAGGGCCCCGATGCTCCTGGAACTTTTCCAGATATCTAGAGTTCTTGTTCTCAGGGACAAGATGAGCATAAAGAAGAATGCCAACTCAGTGCAGGGATCACCTCCCTCCACTTCAAGGTACCCCTGCTCCAAGATCAAGGGTCAGGAAGGATGAAAACAATATCCACTGAGTACTTATTGCATGCCAGATGTTTTCATATATTATCTAGCTCACAACCCTAGATGGTAAGAGTAATCCTAATAGTAGTAGAACATAGTGTGTATTGAGTGCTTCCTATCTGCCAGGCACTGCTAAAACCAGCAAACCTTCAGGCAGCATCCATCATGCACCAGGCATTGTTCTAAGCATTTACAGTGCATGAGGTCGAGAGTATGAATACCTATTTTTGGATGGGGAAACTGAAGCACTCAGCTGGGAAAGGAGAAAACCAGAATCAGACCCAGGCCCTCTGCCAACTTAACCACTTTACTTCACAGCCGCTAATTACCTTGAAACCCTGCTGCAAGGTATTACTTATTCTGTCTTGCAGATGAGGAAACTGAGGTTCAGGAAAGTAAAATAATTCAGCAAAGGCCTCACCTAGGCACAGTGGAGCAGTGTCTGCATAGACCACCTGTCAGCATCCCTCCAAGCAAGTCCTAACTGCTACAAACACAGGGCTTCATGCTCTAAGATTTCAGGGAGCTGGCATGGCTAAGAGAGGTTCTCTAGACAGCCACTATGCTCTGGCAGCTTCCTGCCAACAGCGGGCTCTGTCAGGGAAGGAACTTGGCCTTTTTCATGAGGCTGGGAACAGAGCTGATGCTAGCTAGATGAGATACAAATAGACATGAAATGGCAGCAGATTCTAAAGAACAAATGAATGAATGAGGTAGGAAGGAAGGAAGAGAGAAAGGAAGCAAATTCTTGTTGGGTCTGAGGCAGCAGGGCCCTTCTCAAGGGTACAGCCAGGCCGGGGGCTCACAAGAAAGTGAGACCTGCAGTAAGCTGCCCCTTGTCCCCATCCAGGCTATGCTGGGGCCAGCAAGCCAAACTCCATCTGAACCCAGGACAAAGCAGGAGCTGAGCTGCCCGATCTGGGGAGGGCAGGCACATTGGTCCTCTCTGTGAAAAACTGGTCAGGCTAGTGGACAGGAAAACCCTGACCTCCCAGTGCCTAGGAAATTCAGTGGCAGGGGGTCTGGCCCCGGCCATAGCCTCATGGGAACCTGAGTATCCAGTTAGATCCCGAGTCTTGAGTTGGATGTGTCAGTGGATCTAGCACAAGGTTTAGAATCACTTTACATGAAACACAGCGTCCTGACCCTCCTTTCCAACTGTGAGACTGTGGTGTATGCACTGAAGCCTAGGGGACTCCAAGAAAGGGGCACACAGCCTCTCTGTGCCAACAAATGCTGCTTTAACTAATTTCATCAAGTGGTAATTTCACATATCCAACCCTGGCCCATCTGTGCGCAGAGCACCGAACTTAAGCCATTGCAGTCGTCATTGCAGTAATTCATTCAGCCACTCCATCTATTGCATTCCAGTCCTCAGAGATGCTACAGTAAGCAAGCCACCTGCCCCTAGAGGAACGTCTTATGGTCCAGCAGGCCCATACGGCAAGTAAACAGGAAATGGCACAACTGGGTGATAAATGCAGTGAGAAGGAAAAGAGAGGGTGCTATGAAAGCTTACAGAGAGGGCCCCTAACCAACATCAGGGACCCTATAGTCACCCTGGTGTTTTAAGCAGGCATCAAATGCCAAGTACAAATGAGCCATTAGGGGGAAAAAGAGCAGAGATATTATTCCTAATCTATAAGGGAGTAGAGTCTGATATTGGATGTTTTTTATTATGGTATTCTTTTTTCTTGGGATCTTAAAAATTATTAAATATTTTTAAAACATTTAAATAGCATAATATGAGAGATATCCATGTAATTACTACTCAGTCTTAGCAGTTTCAGATATTTTGTACGTAAGTACATAGATGGGTATTTTTTTGACATGGAATCTCACTCTGTCACCCAGGCTGGAGTGCAATAGCATGATCTTGGCTCACTGCAACCTTCACCTCCCAGGCTGAAGCAATTCTTCTGCCTCAGCCTCCTCAGTGAGTAGCTGGGATTACAAGTATATGCCACCATGCCTGGCTAATTTTTGTATTTTTAGTAGAGACGGGTTTTTACCATATTGGCCAGGCTGGTTTCAAACTCCTGACCTCAGGTGATCTGCCCACCTGGACCTCCCCCCGCAACCTCAACCCTTTCTTGCTCCTGCTCTGCCATGTGAGATGCCGGCTCCCCCTTGGCCTTCGCCACGACTGAAAGTGTTGTGAGGTCTCCCCTGAAGCCAGCAGATGCCAGTGCCATGCTTGTACAGCCTGCAGAACTGTGAGCCCATTAAACTTCTTTTCTTTATAAATGACCCAGTCTCAGGTATTTCTTTACAGCAATGCAAGAATGGCCTAATACTGTACTTTTTGTGAGTCAGTTTAAAAATGAGTGTAAGCTAATAAATAAATATGCATAGCTTCAACTAAATGATTTTTATGGACTGTAGCAGAGGACCTGGCTTGTGTTTTCTTAATGGTTTCATGTCTCATGCCAAGGCCATCATATGCAAAGAAACATCTGAAAAAGAGTTGATGTTTATTGCCAAGGAAATACTTAAACTGACTGTAATGAAGATGTTAAAGAGCTTCAGAGAAGCTGTGGACTATTTCCCTGGGCTGACCACAGACACACCTTAAAGCAAGGGCCATCTGATCATTGGACTTAGGGTGATTTTTAAAACACTTTCTTTTTTTATCCAAGTTTTTATTCAATTCCCTTGACTTATTTCAGTTTAGAATTTGACTTCTTATTATCCTCATAGTAATCCTGAAAAAATTACTAAGAATAAAAAATATCGTAACTACTAACATAACTAAGTCCACAGGATATTAGAACTGAAAAGATATCATATAGCTACACCTCTTTATTTACAGGTGATGAAACTGAAGTCTGAGAGGTTAATTATTCACTCATCCCTCCAACAAATATTTATCGAATTTCTACTCTGATGTCATTTAGATCCTTACTATGGCAGTAAACATTTAGAAATTTAAACATGTTTAGTGTCTCTATCAATAGCTTTAACAGTAAAATTTTAGATGTTACCAGCTTGCCCAAGGTTGCATAGCCATTAAATAGAGGAAACAAGGTTAAGACCCAGGGAGTCTGACTCCAGTAATACTTCCTGTCTTGCCATGGGATACACCTATGGTTCTTGAGTCCAAAATGCAGAAATATGAATCTTACAGGAGAATGAGGCCCTACCATTTACAGAATGTGATGTCTTCCTTTACAGATGGAATTTAGTTCTTCTGGTGAAGAGGACAATGGCTGGGTAGGAACTTAATGCCCACACCTAATGGAAACTTATCCTTGACCTGCATGACTGCTGGCCCAAGACAAAGATTACTTGGAGCAGCTCACCATAGAATCAGCTCCAAGATAAGGGGAAGTACTTGGACTCCATAGTGAACAAAACAGAGATGGTCCCTGCCCTCATGGGGCCCACAATTTAGTGGGGAAGACAGGCAATGTACAAGTGACTTCTCAAATGTTTTATGATTTGTCTTGAATTTTTAAACTTAAACCTTCTCCAGTTTTAAAATAGCATGGAAGCAAAAAACAAAATGGATTGGGGCAGATCACAAAATTGTAACTCTTCTCTAAGGACCAGTATGACAGCCTAGGAGTGAGACTGCATCTTTTCTGGAGGTCAGTTCTGACAGCATCCTTTGATTGAGGAGGGATTTGGAACCTTTGGCCTGTCATGCCCTTGATGGTTCTTAAATAGCCACATCCAGTTGGCTTTTTGTGAAATAACATGTTCAGAGACATAACCACCACCCACTTTCAGTAGAAAGAGCAAAACCACTAACATGTATAATGAATAGCAGCTCTTGGTCTAGGAAACTCACTAAGTCCTGGAATTCAGGAACCACAGAGGAACCCCTGAAGCCTTTCAGGCAATCTGGATTGACACCAGACATCTGTGACTCTATCAAAGCTTTGTACAGAATTCAAGGCATGGACATAAAAGTGCTTTAAGTTATAAGACATTAGAAGCATAAGACATGGGATTTCATGAATATTATTTAGCCATACAGACATTTTAAGATAATCAATGTTAGTCCTAGCTGCAAATATGTTCCCTATTTTTTTTTAGCATTCCACAAAATTCTCATTCTTTTAATTATCTCCCTTTGCTGCTAGGATCTCTTTAAGGCTTTCATCTGGTTCACACTAGGCTGGGAAGAAAAGATATAGGAAGTTCTTGGCCTGACCCTGGCCTTTTCTCCTTTATCCTTTGCTATTTCCTGTCTCCTGTTTCTCTACAGAAGTAAATCATGTTGACATATCCTCGAAGAGTAGGGGCCGTACCATTGAAGAAATATAGAAACAAGGGACAGCTGAGACAGATGCACATAAAGAGGAATATGACCCACTTTATATTTCTGTATTTATTATGTTGTTAAACAAAGAATGCTTTATTAATACAAATACACACAAACTCTAAAGCACTAAGAAATTTAAATATCTATGTCATAGCAAACAACTGGCAATTCAACATCCAGGGTCAACAGAATGCTAGAAGGAGATTGCAACAGATTGCATTCCCATGGTGGAGAGGGCATCTTCACAGGTGAAGGGGGGCCCAGCTGAAACAGCTTTTCAAGCTCTCCCTCCTCATCAAGGATCATGAGAGGCACTCCACTCAAGGGGAGGTGTGCAATCTGGCGCTCTTCAGGCAGGTCAAAACTCTCAAAGTCTAGAGGATTGAAGGGAAAGAATTTTTCTATTTCTGGATACGCGTCATTTGAGGCAGGAATAGCTTTTTTTTTTAACAGTCTTCTCGGTCATCTTTCTGACAGAAAAGCTTGGCTGTTTTTGTTTGCTGGGTCCATTGGTCTTTACTGACTTTTCTGTAGCTCTCTTGACAGTTCCCAAAGCCTTTCTGGAAGCTTTAGGTAAGGCTGATGGAGCAGTGAACGTTTTGCCAAAACGTGTGTTAAACTTGAGATATCCCATCTAAGGCTTTGATTGAAGGTCCAGACCCCAGCTTCAGTCCATCCTTAGCAGCCACACGGGTGCCTGGTTCTCCATTTTCCTTATCAACACAGATCAGAGTAGCCATCCTGGATTATTGCTACTCTCAACAGCCACATTCATCTAAGACTGTGGTCCCACTTTATATTTAGATAGAATGTTAACTACAATGGAAATTGGTGTAATATCTAATTTTTGTGCCTAGCACATCATCTAGGAGTCAGCACAAACTCATACAAAGAACACAGGCCTGAGGTCAGACAAACCTGGGTAGGAATCTCGGGAGTACCACTTTCTGTTAACTGTAAGATTTGGGCAAGTTAGCTAACATCCAAGCCCTATTTCCACATCCATAAAATGGAGGTAAAACCCAACACTTATACATTGTGAAATGATCAAAAACCACTTAGGTAAAGTGCAGAACAACCAATAAATAAATAGTTTCTGCCTTTACTGCATTTTCTAATTTATAATGTACTTTTACATACACGATTTCACTTCTTACTAACCTTTAATAAATGCAAGTCTTCCATTTTTTACTAAAGCAGCACCCCCAAAGTTTCTCTAAACTGCAAAATGCCCAAATGTTTCATCCTGATTTATCCCTTTTGCCAACTCTCATCTACTGGTGGCAGACAATCCAGCACGCAGTGGTGGGAAGAGCTGAGAGGCCCTGTCTGAACAATGTGACTACTAATGGTGACTGCTTGGGCAGGAATACTGGACTATGGCAATGACTATGTACCTTGGCCAACCCAACCCCAATCTAGTCCAGGCTATTGATTCACAGCAGCAAAGGGTCACTTCTGTTTCTAAGGCCTGGAGATAAGTTGAAGGCAGTTTTGCAGTGAGCCATTTCAATTCAATGATAAATATTCTTGCTGTCTAATTTATTCTATGAATCTTTGACCCACGGCCATGTGTGTGTGTGTATTTGAGCCCACATGCAAAAATATACAGTTGAGTCTTGAACAATACAGGATTGAGTTGCATGGATCCGCTTGTTCTCAGATTTTCTTCTGCGGCTGCCACCTCTGAGACTGCAAGACCATCCCCTCCTCTTCCTCCTCCTCCTCAGCCTACTCAGTGTGAAGACAATGAGGGTGAAGACCTTTATGATGATCTATTTCTACTTAATGAATAATGAAATATGTTCTCTTCCTTATGATTTTTCTTAATAACATTTTCTTTTGTCCAGCTTACTTTATTGTGAGAATACAGGATATAGTGCATATAACATACAAAACATGTGTTAGTCAACGGTGTTATTGGTGAGGTCAACAGAAGACTATTGGTTAAGCTTTTTGGGAGTCAAAGGTTACAGGTGGATGTTGGACTGTGCAGGTGATTGGCACCCCTAACCCTCACATTGTTCAAGGGTCAGCTGCACCTATTTATTTGCATAAGGCCACCTCAAAGGGCCATTCAAAGGTATCATTAGAAGTCTTGCTCTTAATCTGAGACAGCTAGCTAGAAAGTGACAGAGTCATGACTTGCACCTGATATATCAAATGATTGATGTAACCTCTATATGGAGCTTGTAAACTCAAGTGCCACCCAGAGTCAGTCAGGGAATGTAAATATATGATGTACCAGTAGAAGGTAATGGGGAACAGGGAGACTGGTGGGGTAGAGTGTGTGTGCCAATCAGCAGGCATTCCAATTGAATTGTTTTTCTTCAAACACTACGGTAGGCAACTTTAAAAAAAAAAAAATTGCAGGCCACCTGTCTGCAATCCTGTCTCATTATATCATTAGAAGGAATTATTGTTAAGCAACTTCTTTCAACTGTTCTGACACATTCATTTTTTATTAATAGTCTTCTAATTGTTCTTTGAATTGGGGCAGAAATAATTAAAGTAAAAGATGTTGTATATGTGTCCTAAAGAAGGGACAAATAGGCCGGGCGCGGTGGCTCAAGCCTGTAATCCCAGCACTTTGGGAGGCCGAGGCGGGCGGATCACGAGGTCAGGAGATCGAGACCATCCTGGCTAACATGGTGAAACCCCGTCTCTACTAAAGAAAATACAAAAAAACTAGCCGGGCGTGGTGGCGGGCGCCTGTAGTCCCAGCTACTCCGGAGGCTGAGGCAGGAGAATGGCGTGAACCCGGGAGGCGGAGCTTGCAGTGAGCCGAGATCCTGCCACTGCACTCCAGCCCAGGCGGCAGAGCGAGACTCCGTCTCAAAAAAAAAAAAAAAAAAAAAAAAAAAAGAAGGGACAAATAAAGACCAGTGAGGTCTAGAGGTGTGAAAGCACATCTAATCCAGGAACACTTTCTGAAGGAGGTGGCATCTGAGCTAGGAAGAAGTAAGAGGAAATCTCCCCAGGCAAAAGAAACGACGACAAGCAAAACAGAGGAAAGCATGGCTACGAGGTAAAATCAACTGTCCCATTTTGCTGGAAAATAGAGTACAGCATCTTGGAACTAGAAAAAAAAGCATGAAGAATCATCTGAGACCAGATATGGTCAAGGTTCTTGACTGCCAAGCTAAGGAATCTGGTGTTTATTGGTTAGAGATGAAAATGGCCTGCTCAGAGAATGGGTTTTCTAGATGAATCTGCTTTGTTGATCTTACAGACTCTTTCTTAACATGAAGCATACTTTTTTCCTAGACAACTTCAAATCTGAAAAATCTGTTACTATTCTTAGCATATGTTTTTGAAAGTAAACTTGGTCACCATAAATGTATATGAGAAAGGGGGCATAAAAACTGGCAGCAAATCCAGTAACTGTAGCCATCTGTGTTTCTGTTGTTCTAAGTGGAGATCAGCAAAACTAGCATTTTAAAAAACACATAAGTATAGTTGAAGTAATATTTTCCGGTGAAGCTTTCCACAAGTGGCTGCTGATAATTTTATCTGGTATTTTAAAATAAAATACACTACCTACAGGACACCATGAAAAACTATCATCTGTTGCATTATAAATGGAAGAATAAAAGGAAGGAAAGACAGAAGGGAGGGAGGAAAATGATATGTAGTTTGTCAGGAAATGTACATCAAATGTCAGAATCAACCTTTTAAAAAGTAATAATGAACAACAAGAAAAACATCAAACAATCTGTTCTGAACTTGTATGAAAAAGTGGCGTAGGATAAAAATGGAGTTTGGAGTCAGAAAGACTGTTTTGAAATCTCAACTCTCTTCTCTTTCTATATTATTTATTCTTTATTATTATTATTATTTTAAGATACAGGACCTTGCTCTGTTGCTGAGGCTGGAGTGCAGTGGTATGATCACAGCTCACTGTAGCCTTGAACTCCTTAGGCTCAGGCAATCCGGTCCCGCGCTCAGCATCCTGAGTACAGTAGGACCTACAGGCACACACCCCCAAAACCCAGGTAATCGTTTCTGATGCTTTGGTAGGAGGGAAGGGTTCCCTGCTGTGTTGCTCAGACTGGCTCTTGAACTCCTGGGCTCAAGAGATCCTCCTGCCTTGGCTTCCCAAACGTGTTAGGATTACAGGCATGAGTCACCGTGCCCAGCAATACATATTCCTGTCAACAGATAAATTCCTTGTCTCTAAAATGTAGTGTTATTTATTACTTCAGTGATTGTGAAGAATGAAAACATGTGTAATATCAGTATCATACATTGTCTCTTTCCTTCTTTTGGAAAGGAAGGGATATGCCTGCCACATTGTGTAACTGTGGCCATGAGTATTATACAAACTCATCAGGGGCTTATGTTCTCCCATCTCACGCAGGGAGTCTTAAATGTTTATGTGGTCACCTTGATCCTTCATGTAAGGGGAGGGGAGTCATAGGTGCAGATAATCCCAAAGACCGGATAAAATAATCCTTTAAGTTTCAACGTGGCATGCATCAGTGCTTCTTTGGGGGGAATTCATTTCTACACCTCCCTCTTTTTTTTTTTTTTTTTTTTGAGACGAGCTCTGCTCTGTTGCCGCAGGCCTGGAGTGCAGTGGTTGATGAATCTCTGCTCATTGCATCCTCCACCTCCTGGGTTCAAGTGATCTTCTGCCTCAGCCTCCCAAGTAACTGGGACTACAGGTGTGCTCCATCATATCTGGCTAATTTTTAGTAGAGATGGGGTTTCACTATGTGTTGACCAGGCTGGTCTTGAACTCCTGACCTCACAGTGATCTGCCCATCTCAGTCTCCCAAGGTGCTGGGCATTACAGGTATGAGCCACTGTGCCCGGCTACATTCCACTTTTCTTAAGTTAATACTGGACACTCAGTTGGCGTCCCTGAGCATATCACATGAGGTCAAGGGAAAAGACAAAAGAAGTCGGAAGCACAGGGAACAGTCCACAGTGAGGATACTGCTGGAAGTTTATTCACTTCACATTCATATGTATTGAGCCCTACTTGGGGCCAGGTGTACTGTGTAGTCTGTGGTGATAATATCTGTGAGCAAAACAAACCAAAACCCCTGCCCTCAGGAAACTTACATCTTTAGTGAAGAGAGAGTCAGACAACGAATGAAACACATTTTAAAATAGAACAGTGTATTAGAAGTTCATTAAGCCGGGTGCAGTGCTCACGCCTATAGTCTCAACACTTGGGAGGCTGAGGGGTGATCGCTTGAAGTCCAGAAGTTGTGAGACCAACCTGGGCAAGATATAGGGAGACCCCCATCTCTACAAAAAAACAAAAAATTAGCCAGTTGCATTCCAGCTACTCAGAAGGCTGAGGTGGGAAGATGGCTTGAGACCTGGGAGGCAGAGGTTGCAGTAAGCCTAGATCATGCCACTGCACTCCAGCCTGAGTGACAGAGACGTTGTTTCAAAAAAAAAAAACGTTTATTTAAAACAGATTATATGTATTTTGGGGGAAGATATTTATTTTTTATTTTTTAAATAGAGACAAGGTCTCACTATGTTGCCCAGGCTGGTCTCAAACTCCTGGACTCAAGCGATCCTCCCACCTCCGCCTCCCAAAGTGCTGGGATTACAGGCATGAGACACCACGGCCAGCCCAGACGACATGTATTATAATCTATATACATAATAGAAAAATGAAAAACGTAAACTTTGAGGTAAAGCTCTCTTAAACACTGCTTATTCTTAGACCACAGGTGCTGATAACAAAAGGCAGAAATTTTTGTAAAAAAGAGTGATGGTGGAAACTGCACATCGTAATGCCCTGTAATTTATATACCGTTGACCCTCTTCATCCATGGGTTCTGCATCTGTGGATTCAACCAACCGTGGATTGTAAATATTTGGAAAAAATAAAGGATGGTTGTGTCTGTACTGAACACACACAGACATTTTTTCTTGTAACTATTCCCTGAACAAAACAGTATAACACTATATATGTAGCATTTACATTGTATTGAGTAGTGTAAGTAATCTAGAGATGATTTAAAGTATATGGGAGGGAGGGGGGCGGAGCAAGATGGCCGAATAGGAACAGCTCCAGTCTCCAACTCCCAGCGCGAGCGACACAGAAGACCGGTGATTTCTGCATTTTCAGTCAACTGAGCCTCTGCTGCTGATACCCAGTCAAACAGGGTCTGGAGTGGACCTCAAGCAATCTCCAACAGACCTACAGCTGAGGCTCCTGACTGTTAGAAGGAAACTTTCAAACAGGAGTGACACCTACACCAAAAACCCCAATCAGTTCGTCACCATCATCAAAGACCAGAGGCAGATAAAACCACAAAGATGGGAAAAAGTAGGGCAGAAAAGCTGGAAATTCAAAAATAAGAGCGCATCTCCCCGGCAAAGGAGCGCAGCCTCATCGCCGAGCAACGGATCAAAGCTGGACGGAGAATGACTTTGACAAGATGAGAGAAGAAGGCTTCACGCATCAAACTTCTCAGAGCTACAAGGAAGGAATTACGTACCCAGTGCAAAGAAACTAAAAATCTTGAAAAAAAGTGCGAAAGAATGTCTAGCTG